CTCTGAATTTTTTTTCTTTTTTCTCGCAACAACTATCTGAAAATTTCTGATAATAGCATTTCGTTTTACCTGAAATTTCTGATATTAGTATTTCGTTTTCACGCAACAAATATCTGAAAATTTCTGATAATCGCATTTCGTTTTATCTGAAAACTCCTGATAGTAGCATTTCGTTTCTCTGATATTTGCATACATAGCTGAAAATTTCTGATGTTAACATTTCGTTTTCTAGGCATATTAGGATAACGATAGAAGTGGTCATATTCTCGGAAACCGGAWTTATTMTTTTCTGAAAATTGAATTTCCATTCTATCTCGCAAATTTTTTTTTGAAAACCGAAATCTTGCGAAGCCTACCAACATTTCGTTAGGCATATTAGGAGGTTGCCATATTCTCAGAAACTGGATTTAGTTCTTTTCTGAAAATCGCATCTCTACTCTATTTCGCAAAATTTTTTTTTCAAGATCGCATTTTTGTGAAAGCTGAAACTTTGCAGAACCTAGCCTAGATCTCGCTCATAGTACTCTTCTGACATGACTCACTCATAACAGATCGACACATATACAAAAAAAAAAAAAAAAAAGGAAGTAGTCCTCTTTTTTTATTTTTATTTTATTTTATCTGTTGATTAGGGCCGAGAGGAAAGTATTGTTGGGTGGGTTACCTACCTGCGTTTTCCTTCCCACCCACCCCTTTTGCATGCATTCCCGGTTTGGTACAGTGCCACGTCAGCAACAGTGCCACTTCAGCAGTGCCACGTCAGCAGTGCCACATCAGCAACAGTGCCACGTCAGCAACATTGCCACATCAGCAGTGCCATGTCAGCAACAGTGCCACATCAGCAACAGTGCCACGTCAGCAACAGTGCCATGTCAGCAGTACCACGTCAACAGTGCCACAGTGCCACGTCAGCAGTGCCCCGCCACCATGACGGGCTCAGTTATGGGCATGCCAGGCCAACTGGCAAATGAGTCCATTGCCGAGTACCGACAACGTTTCAAAACTCAGCTCGCACTAATCGCGGCTGAGGAACAGCGCCAGCTGGCAGCCGAGGCTGTCCGCCTACAGGCTGAAGCGGCGGCAACAGCTGAGAAGCAGCGGCTTCAGGCCGAAGCAGACGCAGATACCCAGGCACGCCGCAAGGAAGCCCAAGATCTGCTACAGCGGCATGAAGCCACCAGCATCGAAAAGCTCAAGTTTTGGCACTTTGAACCAACCGAGGAGCACGACGACACGACACCGGAATAGCAGCACAAGGAATTCATGGCCAAACTCGTGACCAGGTTGGTTTACACTTGTAACCACCTGCAGTCCGAGCTGGCGAACCTCCAGCGGGCCGTACGGAACCACAAGGCTCAGCACGAGGATGCAGCACGGACACTTGATTCCCGTGTACAGGACTTGGAGCAAACTGCATGAAGACCGGAGGCTGGCGAGTCTAGCAGTGCACCCTCTGCCCGCCAACTGGAGGAACGAGTTGATCACGTAGTCGCAATGCTCGGTGACATCAGTACCTTCGCTGCACCAGCCACCATCAGCAATCAGTTGGACACCTCGAAGACCGAGGTTCAGCAACTGCACCAGCTGCCTAATAAGGATGGCAACGTCGTGCAACACTACAAGATGCCGACATTCCAAATCGAGAAGTTCGATGATTATACGCATCAAGACCCGGTCCTCTGGTGGGAGGGCTTTACAACGCAACTTCGGATTCTGTTCGTCGCCAAGCACGCGTACATCGACACGTTGTTCCTCAACTCAAAAGGCGGATGCCAGATCTGGTTAAGCCACCTGGCAACCGTCCACGGCGTCGACGTCGCAGATCTGAAAGATAAGATCTCTTGGGAAGAGTTAACACGGCTATGGAAGAAGCGGTTCATCGTGGACGACGCCCCGATGGTCGCCATCAACCGCCTCTTCACTATGACGCAAGGCAACACATCGACACGTGACTGGCTCACGGAATGGCAAAAGATCGCGGTAACGCCCAATCTTGACTTGCTATTTTCGCATCTGCGCCGCGAGTTCTACAATCGGTCATGTGCCGCCTCGAGCCTTGCACTTGGTGATCGCAAGCAATACGCGACCTTCGCCGAAATCATCGACAAGGCAAGGGAGATCATCAAGACCAGTAGGGCATCTGCACATGAGAAATCAGCATGGCAGCCAACCTATGTGGAGAAGGTGAAAACTGGTCCGCGGCCGCAGCATGTTGCTGCAGTCCAATCGGACAACATTGTGGAAGACCCGGCAGCCACCCAATCGTCACGTGAGGGAGATCAGGTGGCTGTTGTTCAACCGCGAAGCAACAACAAGTCTCGAGGAAATGGGAAGGCGAAAACCGCATCGCCGGCCGAAAACGAACAGCCAGCACCATGGGTCAAGTTTCACTTGACCGAGGCGGAATACAAGTGGTGCGGCCGCTACGGCTGCTGCTATTGGTGCAACAGCACCAAGCACAAGACCTCCCAATGCCCGGATCAAGGCAAGGAGGATGTTCGGCCTCGTATCAACTCGGGAAACTGAGTTCCGTGGGAGGTGAGGCGACTCCACCTCTCACTCCGCCAGATTCGACTGCCTTGCTAGCGGCCTCCTACACATCTGGGGAGGATGCGAATGTCGCAAGCCCTCGGTACACTTACGAGGACTATGCTGTCCACTTGGTCCCAACGTTGGACCAACCGCTCCACGTGCAACAATCTACCACATGCACGGTTTCATCACCATCGGCAACCGATTCGGCAGCTTCGCCGCCATCTATCGCCGGGGATTCAACGTCATGGTCAAGACTTGAAGAGCTCGACCCGTTGACATTTGCGGACTTCCAATGGATGCCCCTTCCCCGGTCCGATCGATTGCCGAAACCGCATTGCAACGTGCTCATGGCACAATTGTGGGATTACTTGCACACTGCAGTACCAACTCCGTTGATGGACGGCAGAGTAGAGGTTGTCGACCTTCACGCCTACATTGCGAAGATCGACCGCGAGTTCAAGACACAACGGTACGACGACATCGATGCACCATTGTTATATGTACGCATTCAGATCGGAAAGGCGACCTGCAGCGCTTTGATCGATTGCGGAGCATCTCGCAACTACATGAGCCAGAACTTTATGGTACGCGCCGGCCTTGGCCCACGCGTCCGGAGGAAGTCCCAGTCTACGCAAGTCACGTTGGCTGACAGTCACACGCACAAGTCAATCAACCGGTGCATAGATGACGTCACCGTGTACTTTGCCCCGCATGCAAGCGAGGCGGTGTCCTTCGATATCTTGGACACCAAATTCGACATGATCTTGGGCATGTCATGGCCGAGAAGCGAGGATCACCCGGTGAACTTCTACCGCCGCTCCATTCACGTTCGTGATCGAGTACTAGTCCCATGCACGGTGGCTCCTCCTCACCCTTCGATCAGCTGCCACGTGGTGTCCGCCGCAAGCATGCGAGCTTCCATCATCAGAGACGACATCGAGGAGATGGGGGTGTGTTTTCTCCACGCCCTCCCGCCCCATGACGCTTCATCGACGGACTCATCTTCGGACCCACGCATCACCGAACTTCTCGACGCCTACGGCGACGTGTTCGAAGGCCCGCACGGAGTAGTACCGGATCGGCCCATCCGCCACGAGATCATCCTCGAGGACGGGGCTGTACCTCCACGTGGTTGCATCTACCGAATGAGCGAGGAAGAGTTAAGTGTGCTACGGGCACAACTCGACGACCTTCTGAAGAAAGGCTGGATTCGGCCTAGCTCATCGCCATACGGTGTTCCCGTTCTCTTCGTCCGGAAGAAGAACAAGGATTTGCGGTTGTGCATCGATTATCGCAAGCTCAACGCGCAAACGATCAGAAACGTCGGCCCTCTTCCACGCATCGACGACCTTCTAGAACGGCTGGGCGGCGCCAAGTTCTTCTCCAAGCTTGACCTCAAGTCGGGATATCACCAACTCGAGATTCAGCAGGAGGACCTCTACAAGACCGCGTTTAAGACGCGATATGGGCATTTCGAATGGCTGGTTATGCTATTTGGCCTTACGAATGCCCCGACCACTTTCCAAGCGGCTATGACAACGAAGTTCCGACACATGCTGGATCGATTCGTACTTATCTACCTCGACGACATCCTGGTGTACAGCCGGAGTTTGGACGAGCATGTGGAACACCTGCGCACCGTTTTGGAGTGGCTACGACAAGCCAAGTACAAAGCCAACCGCGACAAATGCGAATTCGCGCGGCAGGAGCTGGAGTACTTGGGACATTATGTGACG